GCGAGGAGTTACATTAGTGATAAAGTTGACAAATCGTTTCGTTAGCATGAGTTACGTGTGCTTGTTCATTCTCAAATTCACCATCAAAGGTGCACACGCTACTACGCTCTTATCTCGAATTTTCGATGTATAGACGAGTACTACATAATCGAGAGTCTTAAATGGGTTTCGAAAAAATTTCCTAAACTTTTAACGTTGTACAAGTGATTACGAGTACCTGGCACCCGTTTAAATTACACTATGCTAAGACTTCTAAAGAAATATCCTCTTCAAAATCAAAATTATAATTATAATTCCTAGTTAGTCCCGTCTTTCAGAAAAATGTACAAAGAAACTTATCTCATGCGAAAAGTAAAGGGTGCTTCAAACTTTTGAGCAACAGTGCAATTATTTTTTAACTTTTCCACGATCATTGCTAAAGTAATTGTATGAACAATTTTTGCCGTTTCTTTTGAGATATATTTTATAAATATTGATACAAATGTATACCAAATTATATTCTCGTGAAAAATTACAAAGATAATTGAAAAAAGATTAATTTTCGAATGTGAAAAGACTATGTCTATGGGAGAGTTAATTATTTAATTAGAAAGAAATAATTAATGTAGGTTACGTTCTTTTTAAACCTTCATTTAATTTGCAATGTAATTTAAAGGCAAGGTTACAAAGATAATAAGAAAAGATAAAAATAAACCTTGAACGAGAGCTTTTGTAGAAACGGTCTGTAAACCTATTTAGTTCAAAGCATTTTCATAACTCAAATTACAATCCAGTTGCAACGCGTACAAAGCAATTAATAATTGCCTGTGTAACTTGTGTATAGAATTCAACTTATTTATCGACACATATGTAGTTAATGAACGCATACAGATAATATTTATTTTGTACATTTTATAAGCTCTACTTTCCTCGCGAAAGTAAAATATTATAAAGGTCTAAAAACAAGCAATTTTAATATCGTGAATTATTTCATAGTAATTAATTTTATTTATTCACGTGTACCAATTGAAACTTACAAAGAGACATTTGTAAAAGGAAATAAATTAATCGTAACATGGCACAGGCACGAAATTTTACGGAACTACAGACTTTTATGCGTCTGTAAGAAATTTTAGCAAGTTTTCTCTTTTGAGTGTGATTTTAATTATACTGCGTTTATATATACAAATAAAATTCTTGTTTTAGAATTCCAAAGATAAAATATTCTCTAGTTCGGTAATTAACTCGTTGATAGCCTAATCTTTTGAAATTTTATGAGAAATACTAACCAAGGAATAATCGCTAATAAATTCATACATTTGATGAAGAAGAAACACGCTCTTTCAAAATGGTCGATTTATATTTTTTGTGGAAATGCTACGGTGCTTTAAAAGAAAAAAGAAAAAAAGGTAACAAAAAGATGTATTCAAAAGATTAGAAATTTGAAATTGCTACTCGTGACGATATGAGACATTCGGTACAGAGCAATTTTGCCTTTCTCGCTCGAGGCTCGACCAATCTTCCGCCACAATTCCCCGCAGATTGTCCGCCTTAAAGATTTATCTTAGCAAAAGGTTGTTCACTGCAACTACCTACGTATAGTCGCTGAGACTGATATAGCGAAGCCATAAATTCAGACGTTTAGTAGAGACAGTTATTGATATAGTCATGCCTAGAGCTTATAGATATCATATAAGCTGTTTGCTAATCTTACATACAAAACGTAGCAATAAATCTGGTTGTCCAAAAAGGATGATTAACATCAAACATGATCATTTGTAATTTCTCATAGAAATTTTAAAAATAATTTTATTTATATAACAGATTTATTTAAAAAGTAAAGAAAAGTATATTTTTTAATTACGTTATTAGGGAAAAAATGACGCAACAATCATTTTAGTAGCTTTAGACTTCGCATAGTAATTTGACAGTCACAGTGAATGATTTGCTACTCCAGTATTCGAAATGTAGAACTTACCGGCGAACCTTCAAAATCAATATCTTCTTAAGGAACAATCTTAAGAAAGAAAAATTGAATAAAATGTAACTACGACATTTACATTTTTATCAATTATGCTCTGGCAGTCGAACTAACTGTAAGACTAAAATCCTATTTAAAAAGAGAAAAAGGAATCCATCTTTGAAAAAGAAAAAAGCAGATGCATCCAGTTTTCACAATTTCCCTGCACCTTCGTCTCTTTTATCAGCTGCACACCTAGAATAGAAAACACTATTAAGTCCAATCTCCTGTCTCGTCCCAAAGAATATCCGTCCCGAAGAAACGCGGTTACCACAAAGCCTCGACTTTCATTGAAAATCCAGACACGCGTTATCCCGAGTCTCAAATTGTCGGAGCCCGCCGAGAAAAACAAAGGATAGAATAAAGTAGCATAGCGCCAAGGTGTATCGCCGGTTTAGAATGACGAGATGGTGGTCGAAGCTGGAAGACAAGGGTAGCGTGTGGCACTGATTGCTCCGAGAAAACTTGCCTCTCCTCGGGCCATCCCTCTGATCAAGCTTCTCTGTTATCTCACCCCTCGTATCCGCGTCTTCTTCTATCACTGGAACTGGATTCACGCTGGCTCGTATTCTCTCGATTGCAGATCGCCGCTTGATTTTCGCGATTCAGGAACAGCCGCGTCGGTTTCGGGAAGAACCGCAATTCAGAATCGGGAGAGAGAGAACTCTCATGGACGCGGGACGAGGAGGCTGAGCCTCCGGTTCTTCCCTGCTGTGTTCGAGGGATGTTTTGAGTGCAATTTAACTTGCACAACCGAAACAGAGAGGTGGAAGACGAAGGAAAGAAGCCGGGAGTGGCTGGCTAGGTCTCGCCCGCGGGCCACGCGAACTGCAACCACTTCAAGACGTTTTGCATAACGAAGTTACGAGGCGATTCGTCGGCGAGGAACGTTGCATAGCCTACAAAACAGCTACGGGACCAGTCCCGTTGACTGAAGATAGACGGAACGTTGTGTCGCTTCCGGTGACGGCTGAGGTACGGTCTCTCGATGCAATCTCCGAACAACGTTATGAAATATATATATATATATATATATATATATATATATATATATATATA